TCTTCATGACGTTAGGGGCGCAATGCTGTATCTTGGATTGTGCAGCAGCACGATAGCCCCAGCCCAACTACTTCATACATTTTAAAAATATTGGATTTATTTGTTTTGTTTTTTTAATTAATTAATTTGACCTTTCGTACGACATCTCAAAGCGCTATCACCGTACCATAAAGATTTTTTTTCTTTAATACTCATACGGAACTAAATAATTCTGTTTATATAATTTTATTCAAATTTGGACGAATACCTGTTATTTATCAATTCTTTACAAGAATCGCTCAATTTTAATTTTATTTAATTTCAATAACTGAAAAATATCTAGGTAGAATTATTATTATGTAACATAAAACTAAAATGTTTTGCAGATATTTTTTTTTGGTTCTTAAAATATAAGATTTAACACATTGTATACTTATACAGGCTGTCCCAATAAAAAGTGTCTATTTAAAATATTTTCCTATAAAAAGTTTTTTTGGGTCTATTTTCTTTTCAAGGTAGACTTCTTTTGATCTTTAATTCATGGGTGTAAATTCATCCCCCTGAACGGGGTAGCAACTTCAAGAATACTAAATGGTACATGGGGTCAAATGATACATAATTTTAAAGGTATTTTAATTCATTTTGTGTTAAAATTAATGTAAAAATCTTGTTGGGGTGTCGGTGAAATAAACCCATAAAAAATAAAAAATAAATATCAAAGAACTCAACTGCAGCAAAGTTTTGATAATGTGACTGATTTGTTTTTACGATTTTAAACTAATCACAATTAATGTTTATAATCCACTATCTTGAAGCAAACGATTCAAACCGTTGTTTACACCAGAGCAGAACGATCTGAAATTGTCGCACTCTATTTGAGCAACAATAAAAGTGCTCGGGAAACAATTTTTAATGAAAATCTTCCTGTTCAGAACCTCAGCGATCCCTAGGTAGTAAATTTTATAACTAAATTCATGGAGACCGAATTCGTTGCTAACAATAAACATGAAAAGCAACACACTGTTACTAACGAGGCTGCAGAGGTTACAATTTTGGGTAATGTTGAACTGGATCCTACTTCAAGCACTAAAAAAGTAGTAGCAACTGAGTGGTCTTCAGAAAATTTAAAAAAACATCGATTCCACCTCTATAAGATTCTCGTGGAAGATAATTCAGATCGTCGTTCACAATTTTGTAAGGAGATGGTTAAAAGAATTTTAAACAATGCTAATTTTTTATATTCTACATGTTTTTTTTTAACTAAAGAACATTATTTCCTAATGATAACGTCAACAAATATAACTGGTTAATGGAGTGATTTGAATTCATGAATTATGAGAGATATTCACAATATCCAGAAAAGTTAAATGTATGTGCTGGGATTTTGGGCAATAATATTGTTGGTCCCTTTTTTCAACCTAGTAACTTTGTAACGTGCATTTTTAGCCGCTCAAATTACTGGGGAAAAATTCGAATCTCCTTGTTTAAATATACAAAAAAAGGGTAAAACGTTATTTTTTGTTGTGAATTGGTTTTATGTATTGTTAGCCCTCAGATATTTTGTTCATATTATCTGAGTTATACATTTTTGTAGATTTAATCCATAGTACAATGGTTTTAATCAAAACTGGTTGGTTTCAATGTGTTAGATTCTCGTAAAAATTAACAGTCTCGTTGTGAGTTTACTTACATATTATGTATTATTACCTTACCTTTAGGTAGTTAATTATTTACGACATCAATTTCATCGAATTTGTTTTCTTTTTGTCCAGAGTAATTATTTTAATTCAATGTAATTGTTTTAATTTTGACAGTACGAAGTTGACAGTAAATATCAGTCAACGACGGAAAACGATAATTGACAGAGTCATACGTGGTGTATCGTTCCATTTCTGGTTTCGAGTTCCAGGTAAGGGAAGCGATTTTAAGTCGTATTCGCTGTACGAAGTGCGTTCGTTTAACTGTAGGGTTTTATATCGATTTTTGTCAGGTCCAATTTCCAAATGTAGTTATATTGTATATAGATATGGTTTGTAGGGTAATTTTTTGTAAATAATCTCTAAGATATATATGCTGATAAATTCTTAAGGATGAATTTCTAATACCACTCGGCTTATCATTTTTCAAAGCGGAAGGGGAGACATCGTGGGATATTTGTTGGTTAGGTATATCTGACAGGTGCTATTAAGAGGGGAAAAAGACACTTAACCTCAAATTTTGTCTCGGGGTAAAATCTTTAATCTATATAACCATCAAGTTATCCTATAAGAGAGAATTTTAGATTTTACTCCAGTATTAATTGTGGAAGAACGGGTATATAATATTTTTGGGGAATATGGTTGTTTGGTTAAATTCCCATGGTTTATTGGACTCAATCCACACCTGCTAAAGGGATTTATAGACATAAAAATTGGAGGTCCATCGGCATTTAAGTGTGTAATATTCAATTGGATTCTTCAATAGGGGTTACTTCGGACTGCCTTGCTTGTTTTCCACCCTTGAAAGGCTACCAGTTTAACTCTTTGCGAAAAAGGTATGTTTTGTATTTATTTCTTTTTTATTTTTAAAGTTTAATTTTAAGTAATTCCCCTCAGGAAGTTGCCTAGAACTTTTGGTAGGTTACAACTTGACATGTGAGTGTTACCTCAATTAACTTGAAGACTTGATATATCCCCGCATTGTGGAGATTTTCAGAAACGACGATCTGATCCCTGAAAATTTTGTAGTTTTTTAACAGGATCGCGCCCCGCCACACTCATACTAAGCAGCCCTTGTACGTGACTTTTTTAAATCAACATTTTCATAAACCCCGGTTTAATATGGACCCAAAGATAGCCAACTTAATTGCCATTGGAGGTTATTTAAAAAGTGTTGTTTATAAGACGAAACCTACATCTTAAGAAGATCATCGCCACCGAATAGTGTAAGCATGTGAAGAAATGCTCCAAAATGTCTGAAAACATGTTGAATAAAGACTTTATTACTGGGTCACAATTTGAACATTTGAATAATTAAAATTTGTTTAGAAACTTATTCTTTCGGTTTATTTCACCGACAGGTGTTTTACATTAATTTTAACAAAGAACAAAAAAATATCAGCATGTTTGAAAAGAAAACTGAAGTATCTGTAAAATGATGTGCCACTTTACCGCTCACGCCATTTAGTATTCTTGAAGGGGTTGCCACACCTACATCCATAAATTAAAGGTCAAAAGAAGTCCCCCTTGAAATTAAAATCGATCGATCTCTGGGATTACCCAAAAAAACTTCTCATAGGAAAATATTTCAGGTGGACTGTTTTAAACGGGCCACCCTGTATATACATAATATTTGTTTTGGTATAATTTACTTCCTTTTTTCTGCTATTTCATAATAATATTTCAACGTTGCTTGATATAAATTTGAAATTTTTATGTGGCGCTATCTATATAAAAGTACGTGAACTAAAAATTACAGGAATCATAACTGTTTGATGTATTTTTGGTCGCGTTATTAGGGGTAAAATAAAAAAAATTGTTAGTATAAAATAAAAAGAAAATAAATATTTCTTATGTGGAGCGCTCCAATGGATTATACTTTAGTTCCTGAATTAATTTGTATAGCGAATTTTAGTGCTTTTTTACTTGTAAATTTTTCATGATTTTGCTTTTTTTCCAGTTTATTAGAATATTATAAAAACAAATCCATATACGATTAGTGCTTAAAAAGCCCGTCCTAACGCCGCCTTAAACATATAATTTTTTTATTGATGTCGTAGGCTTCAACAACTAAGGGTATTAGCCTCGTGTTATATGTAGTCTAAAACTCCATAGTGCAGGAGTGTTAGTACTTTAATACTCCTGCACCCCTAAGACAAGCCCTGTTACTGTTTCCTTGCGCCACTTGAGAAACACCACTGTTAATTAGAACCCAACAGTGAATGGTCGAGTGGGAAATCCTACTTATGCATTAGAATCATTATTTAATTTTAAACATATAAATTAAAGTATATTAAAATTGCAGTTTTATAGAAACATGCTAAATTCAAAACCAAAGTAATAGTCTAAAGAGCTAGCAGTGAATCCTAAATACAACTTACCTGTGAGGAAGGCAAATCGTAATAATACAACTAGTCCGGTCTGCATAGAACACACATCATGTTGCTTCAGTTTATGCAAGCGTGCACTATTTTTTAAGAAAACAAAACACATTCCTGTCCCATCTAAACACCCATTCTTTATTACGCGTTTTAGTAATCGCTACCTTTTGGTTTGGGTAATGTCCAAAAGTAAGCCCTTGCTTTAAAGAGACTAGTCGTATAAATACGATTAAACTTCCTTACATCTAATTATAATCCTAGTCCGGTTCTTAAAGAACACAATTGTAGATGTTTAAAGCACGGGAGAGATATTCTTCGATACCTTTTTTTAAGTCCTTACAATGATAAGTAACTTTATTTAACCCTTAACTGGCATGGTGATTTAAAATAACAGTAAAATTTGACCTAACTACTTTTTTATAATAAAAAATTGAAAAAGATCACTTAGATACGGAATTATTTTAAACTTGTTTATACTTGACGAGTATGTAAGGAAATAATTTAGTTTTACGTATGACTTATACATGGTGAAACACAAAAGACCAGAAAAAAATTTAATTTCATAAAATTTTTAAAATGTCAACATTATTAAATTTGTGAATTATATTTGAACATTCATGTATTCCCACTTTCAGAGCGTAACTTTTAAAACTAAATGCTACTTAGAAATATTTGAAAGTTTAACAGACAACTTCTATGTAACTATTACCAAAATTTTCAAAAATAGTTGATTCTAATTGGTGACCAGTTCTAGCCGTTAATTTTTAGGCATACAAAACAGTTTTCATTGAAAATTAAATATTTTCTTTCAAAAAAAGAAGTTTCAAACTATTAACTATTTTAATTTAAATTAAAATTATTGCAAAAACAATAAGCAAAGTATAATAAAGATCAAAAAACGTGCAGTGCAAGCTATTTTTTCTTTCAACAAATCCACACTCACCAATCGCAACACTGATTGCAAAAATTTGTTTAGCGGTCGCATTGCGGCTTTGCTTTGGATTATGCACGTTATGTCGACGCCAGTGAGTTCGATAGTTCAGAATAGCGCGTCAGAGAAGTCGTAGAAATGAGGGAATTGTAACGGTGGTCGCGGAACTAACACCTTCACCTCCAGCGCTTTCTCTTCTCCTGGTAGCCGAGTGCCACGTTAAGTTTGAAATGGAAAGTATCGCGGAAACAGGTTTTTATTTATTTGTAGTTTTTGTCTGTTTAGAGGACAGAGATGGGTTTAGCGAGGTTGCTCGAGAAATAAAATATTTGCAAGTCCCAGTAATAAATCTGATAGACTTTATAAAAACTGAAACCCGGTTAATAAAAAAAAATAAAAGTAAATTAAAAAAATACAAAAATATTAGATAAAAATATTTCCGTAACATTCTTAGTACATAGATAAATTGAGAGGTCCAATGCATAAACCAGTCAAGTCACATTTGAAAAAAAATCAAGAATCAAGAAAAACAATTTTTGATGTAAAATTTTTAGATACTGAAAATTTTCGTATTTCGTTGTCTATTCAGATTATCCTTCTACATTATTTTTTGAAAATATCAATCCGTGAATCAAAAAAATAAACGAGCTATGAGGGTAAGAGCAATGAACTTGACTGGTTTGTGCAAAGTATTTTTAATTTTTTAAGGGGTAAGAGAAAAACAAATTAAATTTTTATTATCAAAATATAACTTTTGGTTAATTTACTGAATGAAATTAACAAATAGATGGTTTAACTACACTTTTGATGCAAACTTAAAATATTTTTATTTAATCATCATCATTGAACTCTGATGCGAAAGTTTCTTTGTCATCTGGTGAAAAGCTCTGATTTCTTTAAAGAACCACTGATTACATTGTGGCACATAATTTTTCGCCAGAGTCATGACGTGATCCAATTTATTTTTTTTTTTAGCTTTCGTCTTTCACTATACATCTTATTTGTAGGGTTTCGTAAGGTCAGGGGCTGCACATTTCTCGGATTTCAAAAGCATTGAACAAATTGAAAGAGACTGTTTCACTGCATTTAAATGATGTTTCAGTATCTTCTTTTTTATAACGCATAATTCGATATTTTGAAATCGTAAATTTATTGTTCTTCTTTGAAGGATTCTTTACAAAAAATTGCTGCAAATGGATAACTTTAAAGTTTTTGTTTGTCTTTTCAATAACATTCGAGTACTCTTGAGGCAAATATATTTTGTTATGTTTTCTTTTCTGTATTTCTATAGCTTCAAAGCTCCTATCGCACGGAAGGAAACTACGTCCAGGTTTGGGGTACCTGTGCTGTATTAGCCTGAATCTTCCAGTTGTTGCCAACATAGTACAAAGAAACTGTATTAAAACAAATTTTTTTTTCTGCGACGAACAGTTGTCAGAAAACATGTATATATCACTTACTGGTCTTCACTAACTGATCACTTCTCTCAAATTTTACAGTACCAGTATCCATCAAATCTGAAAGATTCAAGTCAAAACAAATATCATAAAGTAATATGTGATTACAATTCATTACATAAAATATTATCACAGGAAAATTGGGTAGATATGTATTCCTCCATAGATGTTAATGAAATGACAGATATGTTTATTACTAAATTAAAATATTATGTAAACTCAAGCAGCCGGGTAATAAAGATTAACCGTTCTCATTTCAAACGTAGTCCTTGGATTACACAAGGTTTAGTAAAATCTATTAATATTAAGAATTCTTTATATAAAACAGTTAAACAACAACCAAACAATACACAAGCCTTAAAAGAATTCAAAATATACAGAAACCAACTAAATGATCTGATAAAAATTGCCAAAACTGACTACTACAAAAATGAAATTATTAAAAATAAGAATTCCTCAAAACATATGTGGCAAGTTGTAAAAAATATTAAAAATCATGATAAAACACAGGAGATATGTGAAATAAAACAGAACCACATAAATATAACAAACAAAACAGAAATTGCAAATGTGTTTAACAGATATTTTACAGAGGTAGGTAGCATTCTTGCAAAAAAAATTTAAAAGTCATCTAGGAAATTCAATGAAAGAAGACTAGCTAACTCCATATACTTAGAACCTGTGGAAGAACAGGAGGTGGTTAAAATTATAAAAGATTTAAAACCAAACAAAGCGCCTGGACTAGACCTAATTCCTTCTGAGGTTTATAAAAGATGTGTACATTATTTAAAAAATCCACTGACTTTTATAGCAAATAAAATTTTTACTACTGGAATATTTCCTAATTCTCTAAAAAATGCAGTTATAAAACCACTTTATAAAGCTGGGGATAAGATAGAAATGTCAAACTACAGACCCATATCGATCCTGTCCAGTATGAGTAAAATAATAGAAAAATTAATTAAATTCAGATTGTGTAATTTTATCAACAAATACAAATTATTATCTTCTAAACAATATGGGTTTGTGGAGGGGAGGTCTACCGAAGATGCAATTGCTGACATAACATCCAAAATATACAAATCTATAGACACAAAAATGCCTGCAATTTGTATCTTTGTAGATCTCGCCAAAGCATTTGACACGGTGAGTCATCCAGATTTATTAGAAACATTAAATACCTTAGGCATCAGAGGAGTAGCCTATCAACTACTAAAGAGCTACCTAACTGATCGAGAACAGTATGTCAGTATTGGCGACTCTATGAGTGATAAGCAAACAATACAATTTGGCATTCCCCAAGGTACCGTTCTTGGTCCTATTATGTTTAATATATATATTAACGCCCTTTTTGAACTACCTATACCCGCAGAAATCATAGGTTTCGCCGACGACACGGCCATTTACTACCAAGATACTAATTGGAATACCCTAAAGAAAAAAATAATTAACTCTCTACCTATTGTTTTAGATTTTTTTCGTAACAAATTGTTAACAATTAATTTTAATAAAACAACATTTCTTCCATTTACTAGTTACGATTCAAATTTACCTGAATATGATTCAATTAATATAAATTACAACAATGAAAATGTTTGTATAAAAATGTCAAAAACAACTAAATACTTGGGAATTATAATAGATTGTAATTTAAAGTGGAATGCACACATTAGTAGTGTTATAAAGAAAATTAGATTCCATTTAGCAAAATTTAAATTTTTAAAATGTTTTTTGGATATCCGCCACTTAAAGATGCTCTATTATGCATTAATACAGACTCATCTAACCTATGGTATTATCGCTTGGGGAGGTGCGGCAGATATCCATATTAAACATTTACAAATAATACAAAAATGGATTTTAAAAATTATTTATAATAAAAACTATACTTACCCAACAGAACGTTTATTTGTAGAAGCAGAAGTTTTGGATTTGAGACAACTTTTTTACCTACGTGTAGCAATATTTCAGAAGCATATTTTCCTTAGCACTCCGGTACAACATTTATACCCAACGCGTTATAAAAATCATGTGATCACCGTACCTAGAATGGAAAAGACTCTAGGGCAAAGAAGTTTTGTATATCTCGGTCCTAAAATATTTAACTCACTTCCGGTGGAATTTAAAAACCTAAATTCTATAGCTCTTTATAGGTCTAAATTATAACAATGGATATTAACTAAGCAACGACAAAAATTTCATAACTTTATTAATTTAAATATAACTAAAATCTAAAACGAACTTACCTGCAATTATCCAATTATTTATGTATACAATAATTATTTATAAACTATTCAATGCTGTAGCTAATTTGTCTCTATAATAAATAAAAGAAAAAATAGTAAAAAAAAAGAAATGCTATGTAGAATATAATTCTCAAAGTATCCCACGCACAAGGTTCGCCTTTAGTGGAACCACTATTTATTCACATAGACAATTTTTTTTCTGTTAAATATAAGTTAAAATTGTAATTCGATTTTTAAAGTGAATAAATTTATTATTATTATTATTATGACTTCTTCTGTAATTTAGATGTTAAGAAAATGGTGTAGCAGACTAAATACATCATTTTGTCCTTTAGCAGCCAATGTTTCATCATACAAAAAAACTTTTCCTACATGAACACAAAAATTATATACTCAAAGTTGGATTTTGAAGAACACTTCTCCACTGGAGAATAGAGGAAGGGGCAAATTTTGTTGAAAATCAAATGTCAACACTTGTACTCTTGGGTCCTTTTATGCTAATCTTTAATGTCTGTATAGAAAGTTTCGATCTTTTTAATGTGCAATTTTTTGTCTGTCTCCAACTGTGTCTTTTGTTCTTCATTGTCAGCAGCATTAGTTCAATTCATTAGTTTGTAACATTTTAGGCATGTGTCCGACTTTGGTTTGCCAAAAGACATTTTAAAGTTTTCTGTAAAAACTTTCTATAATATTCATCTTTTAAAATAGTCTTGATATTTTAATTTTCATGAAATAACTGTCCAGGTTCATATTTCTGTAGGCACATGTGATGCATTTTGGCAATACTGAGGAGAGGTGATATGTAATGTGGTTCAAGTTGTCTTTTAGACTATAATGTGATTTGTATTTTGGATAACTAAGAATATGCTCACGTATCTTATCATCAGTTCCTTCAGTAGTTTATTAGACCTGAATACATGCTTTCCTCTGATATTTATAGGAGGAGCTCCGTGTCTCATATTTAGGTGCTTCTGCAATTGCTCAAGTTTTGCTTTTGAGATTCCATGAAGAGAGTGGAATGCTTTTTTGCAAATTTTCCACCTAACACCATTGTAGCGAATCTGAAATAATACCACGAAGTTAAACTAAACCAATGATTTTATATGGCAAATAATAAATTACCTAGTAGGTGTTGCATTTTTTTTATTTCCATCACCGGAACGTGGTCTAGCTCTCTGTATTTCTATCTTAAAAATATTGCCATACAATTATGCATCCTGCAGATCTTCTGATTTCATAGCACAAAAATCACGAAATATCGTTTCACAAGTTTCTTGTCCAATTTCATCAAAACAACTCGACTTACTTAATTCTTGCTTTTTATACATTTGTGTTCCTATTTTGACAATAATTTATGTATTCACCAATTCTGCTAATTAAGTGGAAGATACATTACCAAGTTACTTACAACTAAATTTATACATTTCTATTTTTGCTTATAATTTACGTTTGTATAAATAAATCTACAGCGGGGATTTGACACTTGTGCAATTCAAGAAACAAAGTAAGTCGATTA